CTCGCGAGAGTTGATGACGTAAGCCTCGCTGTTGATCGCGCCACGGAAGGCATTCTTTAAAGGAGAGGTTCACACGTGCGCGATATGCCACATTGAGAGGGCTGGAGAGAAGACGAGGAACGATTTTTTTTCCTTCCTCTAACTGGGCGCACGAGACAGAAGACGTCAACTGCTGCGTATCTGCGCGTGCCTCGCCATCAGGGGAAATGGGTCAAGACTTGGGAGCTGAAGTCAGACCTACTACTTCCCCTCTCTGTGGCAGACAATGAGGGAGGAGTTTGCACAAGGTACTCGCCTAGTGGTGGTGGTTGTGATTGTTCCTGTCAAGAGGCGTGCGTGATGGGCTGATACAGTGGACCCCTCGTTGAGTCCTGATGACTGGGTTCTGATCCTCTGGGAGCTCGCAGAGCGTTTGAGCCAACAAGGAGGCGACGGGCAGTTATCTGTGGACACGATCAGTGCACTACNTGATGACTGGGTTCTGATCCTCTGGGAGCTCGCAGAGCGTTTGAGCCAACAAGGAGGCGACGGGCAGTTATCTGTGGACACGATCAGTGCACTACTCTCAGTACTGTGCCCTACATTTCGCCATCTTGCTTGCACAGTGCCATCGAAGAACCTGAAGTGATCGAGGATCGTCTCCTAGCGAGCCCCGCGCCAAGTGCGTTTTAGCGAATCGTTTTTGACGTCATCAATTACTTAGTTTGGAGATAGTGGGAACTTCGTCCTCTCAGATACTCGAGCTGTCACGTCAAGATAGCCAAAGGGACACCGGGGAAAAAATGGTGACGCTGCAGAAACGGGTCTATTCATTACTTGATCAGTGTGTGCATGATCTGCTCGGTCGAGGGTCAACTGTTGAGACTTATCCTCTTTGAAGGTGTTTCGCTCACCGGCTGGTGCGCTCTCTCTAATGGTCATCTGTCTCGCCAACCTCGAGTGACTTCTGGTTCGTGACGGGTACTACTATCGAAGCCCTTGATGCGATTTTTGGTAACTATCCTGGTCTGACCTTCAACAAGTGGTGGTCATTGTATGATAGTTCGTTCCGTCCTTAATATCATCAGTTTTCTTTCCTTTTTTTTTTTTTTTTTTTTTTTTTTATAGTTTCGGTTAATTAGGATGATTGATCGTGGTTAACTGGTCGAGATACGCCTTGACAGGAGTTAAGCTCGCCTTAGATCGTGGGTGGGTGAACAAGGGAAGCCCCTTATGCGTAACAATGTTCTGGAGTGTGTCGTCTGCGAGGGGAATCCAATACGTAGGCTGCTAGATTGAGAGCGTTAATAATTCTGGAGTTGGCACTTGTCCGTGGAAAGTATTCCCCTGCAGTGATTTGGTTTACTTGACCGCCTGGCAAGGCCGAAGAGACGCGCAACCTCTGTAATCGCGCACTTAAAATTTTGTAGAGCCGGAGACTACGAATATAGTTGGGACTTGAGTTTTCTTTTCCATTTTCGTTCCGTATGAGATAACACTGATTGTCCGCAATGCATGGTTGCGCTGTGTGACTACCCTATGCATAACTATACTGTGTGACTACACTATGTGTAACTACAATGTGAGATTGCACCTGTGCGTGATTGCATTGCGTGACTAAGTCAAGTGATACCTTCACGTGGTTGTGACCGTGTGGATACGGCAAGTGACTACACTGCATGACCACACCTTGTGACTGTGACGTGAACTCATCACGTGACTACATGAGTGTGTGGGAGCGTAGGGCGTATTGCATATGCTCACCCTGCGTGTGGTTTCCAGCAGTGGTATGCATTTGTTCGTGTCCCGAGATAAACGGAGCACACGAATGTGTAAGCTTACGAGCGTCGGTAAGTATGTATGTCGACTGACGCTTGGTTGAGTGAACTGACTAGCTCAATGGGTACAAGTAGGCACTCGATCGAGTGACACAGGCATATTTCCCGGCTCGCTGGACGAGCTTATTTAGTCAAAGGAATTGCTGAAACGATTTTCATGCTAGGCTTTCAGGATTTTGCTTTCTGAGCAGATGGGAAAAGGAAAATCAGTGTTGAGAAAAATCTATTATGTTCTCGCCAAGTTTTTACTTRACGGTGATTGATTAATCTTCTTCCTAGCACTTCTCCTGTTGTGATTGACTAAGGGAGGAGGGGTTTTTATGCAAAAGCAGGCAAAAGCAGAAACCTTTTAAAGTGAGTTACCCAGAAAACGGTACTCCGTACAACGGGGTGAAGGTTCGARGCTGCACAAGCTCGTTGGTTTAACAAGACGTCTGGCTTCGGGACGGGTTGAATCAGAGGGGTTGTGTGACTCCCTAGACAAAACGATCATCAGATTGCAGCTTTGCAAATTCATCGTAAGTTTGGTCTGTTAGCATATCCACTCCAGTAAGACACTGTGGAACGGAAAATGATTCTAAGCATCGAGTCTGAGTACCAAGGGTCTGTGAAAAAGGAAAGTGAAGAAGTATACTAAGGGTAACTTACACCTCGTCAATAACACTTCCCCATCTTTTTTTTTTTTTTTTTGTACGTACTTATGGATCGGATGGGGGATGGCGACAGTGTGAGAATGGCCTACGCCCTCCACCTGGACAAAAGAGGGGATTGGGAGGAAGAGGTAGTTGAGAGAATCCCGTACATTTGGAACTAATGAGGAAGAGGGTGCTCGAAATAGTGAAGGATCAGAAGATTGTGTCATATACCGTTCACTTGCATGAGTTGAACGGGCGACTGCACAACATCTACTCAACTGTTGAGACAGTGGATCAGGCACGAGAGTCACTTAACGTCCAACTACAGGAGTGAGGGGTGAAAAGATTGTTGGCAGTACATTGTCAGATGTAGATAGGGATAGATTAACGGGAGCTGGGTACTTGATGGCTTTGAGTTTTAGCCGGCCAGCAAAACTCCCATTCGGTACTCTGGCACCGCCAGATAATCCTTCAACTAGTGCTCAGAGTTGCGAACATTCATTGAGCGCTTGGTGATTTATAGTCGGGTTAATGGACAGCCAGAAGCCGGGCCCAAGCACTAATCAAGTGAATGTGCAGATTCTGTTCAAGTAATGCTTAGGCACTACTTAGGCAAAAATCCGTCGTTCTTACTCAAAGCAGCAGATCGGATGCTATTCAAGCGAGACTCGGACACTGCTTTAAGCAAAGAGAAGAGTGAGAGATCCAGACATTTCTTTTTCTTTTCTTCGGAATACACGCGGACAGTGTTTAACCGTACTCAGAACTCAGAAAAGACGTTTAGACAAATGCTTTTAATTCAGAGAAGGCTTCTAGTAGTCCTCAGGGCTTGGAGTGAGCATCGTACATAACTCATCATTTGTATCAACATCCTAACTCTATTCAGCTACAACACAACTTGCATTCACACAATGAACAGCTAATCCAAGCTGCGGATGACATCCTTTAGCAAACAATAGTCAGCTCTGTAACTAGTAACTTCAAGCAAAGACCAGTTACCAAACCGGCAAGCGGTGATCTGACCGGTTACCCGACCAGTAAGCAGTTCAGTGACCAGTTTAGCAAACAGTTCATTCAACAACCAGTCCAGTAAACAGTCCAGTGTAACCGGCTCAGCAATTAGTTCATTCAGTAGTCGGTCCAGTGTAACCTGCTCAGCAATCAGTCCATTCAGCAATCAGTCCATTCAACAATCATTCCAGTAAACGGGTTGGTAACCAGCTCAGCGATCAGATCAGTTCAGTAATCAGAATAGCAGTTAGTTCTTCAAATCAGCAATTACATCAGCAGACAACCAGCAAGCAACAACCATCATCATACATGAGTGCATTCCACTACTACTCAGTCAGCGATTCAGTGCTAGCCAACCTTAATAGGATCTCCTTCAAGGAGGCTATTCGGTACCGATATGTCAGTGCCACATGCTTCAAGAGAGGGGACCTGTCGCTCTTCGTTGTGCTCACCAGTTTTGCAGGAGGCACCATCCATGACCTGACACCCTACCTGAAGGAAGAAAAGGAGGATCGTGAGCACTTTGACTCAGTCTGGATCCCAGCAATCAGCTATCTCAGTCGGAGGGAGTGTGAGTTCRATGAGAGAGGAGACACGYTGGTCCGTMGCTTTGGACCAAAGCTCTACTCTGACTACCCCAAACCCCCGGTACCATGTCTACTCACTGATGGAACCTGCTGGGGAGATTTAGTTGATTTGGCAAAGAGATACATCTCTCCCTCTGTGATAGGTCGTGAGGTCTCATCAGAGCATCAACCWACGCGTTGGGATGAGTTATATTCCATGGTCAACTATCGGATCATGTGCGGGGGCAGGGATTGCTCCAGGCTCGACAGATGGCTCTATGGTCCAATGCCTCGATCTCAGAGAGCACGTAGACACATGCCGAGGCAGAGGAGAGGGACAACTGTGAGGGATTGAGGGTGTGATTYAGCAGAGACCRRCTAACGACCAGCAGTCATTTAAGTACATGTCAGAGATCAAGCCTATCACGATTGACCAGTTGGTTCTTGACAAACTCAACCGGTTGTCTTCAAGAGAGAGCTTTCCTTACAAGTACGTCAGGATCGATGGCTTCAAGCTGGAAGATCTGTCAATCTTCATTGCTCTTACTGAGTTCGCAGATGGCACAATCAGAGACCTACGGATTTATCTGAAGAAGGGTAAAGAGATTCATCCACATTTTGATGTGTTGTGGGTTGTTGCGGTCAGGTTCGTGCGGCGGGAAGTTGATCACCTTGAAGGTGGCACGAGGCTAGCCTATAGCTTCGGTCCCAAACTCTTCTCTGACTATCATAAACCTCCAGTTCCATATTACCTTACAGATGGGTCCTGCTGGGAAGGTTTGGTGGATTTTGCTAAGAGGTACCTTTCTCCTGCAACAGTGGACTACGAGGCACTGACAGAGCCTTCTTAGTTCCCTCATCTCAGACGAGGGATTTTCTCACAGCCGTATCTTCCCTCTGCATGGGAAGAATTTTGTATCTTCCTGGATCTACACGTGAGCCATGGATGTGATTTTCTAAAGATAGGGAGCTTCATGTGGCATTTCATTGAAAAGCCTCAACCTCAGGAACTGCAGAGATGTGACCAAAAGCATGAGAGACAGCCAGCCAGACGAGAGATAGACTGAGGTGTAGAGGTGGATGGCAGACGAGGGCATACGGGACACGAGAGTGCCCGCGGGTGGCCAGAAACAGCGGATGGACGACGCAGAGAGGGACGATATTCAGGACGCCCTCGATGAGGAGGAGGGCCGCGAGGGTGGGGCCAGGGAGGGGGCGGTTGCAGACGAGGCAGACAAGGCAGTCGGAGAACCTAACCTGCCAGGGGAGGAGGTGGTGATGACGTCGAGAGGCGTCGGTGGAGCGGATCCTGCTACTAGGGCGCCGCGAGCTGAGGTGGAGCGCGTGAGGAGGGAGAAGAGGACAGTGGGGCAGGCTGGCGTCGAGGTGCCAGACACGGGCAGGGAGAAGAGGGCTTGGCAGACCACGATTGACGAGATGTATGCCAGGGAGAAGTTGGCTGAGTTCACAGACGCGTGGCTTCAGTGGATCTATGTGAAGAAGTTGCCATTCAACGCCTTCCGTGGTCCGGAGTTTCAGAGGGTGTGGCAGGCAGCAGAGAGAGTGCCTCGCTCTATCCAGATCCGGTTTCCCTCCTACAGGGTTACAGCGGGCGCCGGTATCCCTTCGCAGAGGGCGAAGGTGGCGACGATGGTGAGCGAGGTGCGCGCCACTTTTCGGCACAGCGGTGCCACTATCCTTTCTGACGGGAGGAAGTCGCGCAGCGGCAAGCCGCTCGTGAACTTCCTCGCCGGGGGCGCCAATGGCGCCCTGCTGTACGCCACCGTCGCACGTGACGGGTCGGTCCGAGACACATCGGACGTCGTGTACCGTAGCTGGCGGGCCATCATCTTGTCATTTCCTGCAAAGGACGTGATCGGCTTCTGCACAGACTCCGCCAGTAACTATACGGCGGCAACACGCAGGTTCGCCATAGACCCCGAGCCTGAGATCAGGAGGATCACTTGGCTCCCCTGCTGCACCCATGTCTGCAACTTGATGTTGTCAGATATCGGGACGCGAGTGGTGTGGGTCAAGGAGACCATCATCCGCGCTCGAGCGTTTGTGCGATTTATTAAATCGCACGGCGCTGCTCACACCCTGTTTAGGAAGGTGAGCCCTCGCGTTCAGCTCGTCGAGCCCGTTGAGATACGATTTGCATCGGTTTTCCTGATGCTGACGTGTCTCAAAGGCCGACGAGACGCGTTGGAGAGCATGTTGCACGGGGATGCTTGGGCACACATCCCGTGGGATCACTCCCACGTATCTCAGGCGCAGTGGGTGCAGCAGCAGATCCGGAACGGGGAGTTTTTGCAGCGTGTCCATTACGTCATCCTAGTCATGTCGCCCGTCCACCAGCTACTGCACAGGATGGATAGAGGTGGGATGATGATGTCCGTCATTTACGAGTGGAGTCAGCATCTGCTGCAGTTGATGAGCAGGGTCGACGTGCCGACGGACATGACCGAGCCGTGCGTGCGTGAGGTTACCATCCACAACCTCCACATGCTAGAGCCCGCACATGTCGCGGCCCACCTCCTCAACCCTCGTCGACGGTCCCTCACGTATTACCATTCGCTGGAGACGACCGCCGACAACCGCCGTGTGGTCGAGGAGTGCGACAGATTTCTCCTGGCGCAGACCGGCGGCGATCCGGTCGGCTTATTGTATAGGACCGTGAGGGACCAGATGAGGGCGTTCCACTCGAGGCGAGGGGATTGGGGAGATCGTGACCTCTCCGATGCCGAGGCGGCCGATTGCAGGGGGGACAGTGAGACCGAGCGATGTGCAGCGTGGTGGTTCGAGCATGGACGTGCCCACCCGGAGTTGCGCACCATCGCCATCCGTGTCAAGCACTTGTGGACGTCTGCCTCTCCAGCGGAGAGGAACTGGGCGGAGCACGAGCGCGTCAGCACAGCGAGGCGCTGCAAGCTTGGGTTCGCCAAGGTTGCACAGCTGGTTGAGATTGCCACCAATCTCAAACTGGCCTCGTGCGCACGGCAGGGTGGTGGCTACGTGTTGCCATGGGTTATGGGGACCGGTCGGGGGGGGACGGCGGCAGAGGAGGAGGATGAGGAGGGAGATGTGGAGCCCGAGGTGTGGGGAGCGCGACCTGATGGCAGTGTTCTCGAGCAGGAGATCCAGCAGCAGATTGTCGCTTTCCGTGACAGCCGACCGTCCAGAGCCCGTTCGGTTCGGGACGTGTTCGGCAGCAGAGCGACGGAGCTGCGACCGTGGCCGGAGGGTGGGGATGATGTGGACGCTGCTGCGGCAGGCGACGACATCGACGACGACTGGACTGACGATGATGACACGCCGCTGAGTCGCAACCCGACGGCTGAGCGAGTGTACTTCACTTACGGTGGGGGTCGTGATGGCATGGATTCACATACATCAGTTATCACTGGTGGTGTGTCGTCGACCGCGCAGGCGAGTGGCAGCAGCAAAGCCGGTGGTGGTCTTGGAGGACATTCGCATGCGGAGGTTCGCATGGACGACTCGGGAGAGCAGCAGCCAAGGGGAGGTCTTCGGCACACAGGCAGGCGTTGGGAGGTTAGGAGCGACAACGAGGCCGAGGGGGAGGCCGAGGATGAGGAGGTGCACCTTCGCGATCGTCGCTTCTCTCCCTCCCATCATCTGATCTCTTCACGGCCCGAGGCACTTAGGCGTTCGGAGAGGTTGGCGTCGGCAGCAGGCAGAGACCGGACACATGACGACGAGGTTCGTGGGGGGGAGAGGACTCCTTCTGACGCCGGTATTCGCCCCCGCTCGCCGTCGGTGCTCCGCACACAGGACTTCGAGGACATAGGGCTTGGTGGGAGCTTGGGAGATTTGAGTGTCGAGGGACGTCGACGTGCCTCACCGCAGGATGTGCGCACAGACGAGGACGTTGAGCGGAGCCCTGTTGAGACTGAGGAGGAGAGGGATGCCCATTTGGACCGAGAGGAGGAGGAGCGGCTGAGGAGTTTGCCACGGTGGGAGGGTCGGTTCGCGTATCTCGACGAGCAGCGTCGAGAGAGGGACTTGGAGACAGGAGGGGGGGGGAGCCGTGACGTCGACGACTCGGGTGTCCCTGAGGAGGCGGTTCAGGGGGAGTTCGATTATGAGGGGCAGGATGCCGCCGCGGGTGGTGGGTCAGGTGGTGGACGACGCGGTGACGAGGAGACCGCGGGTGTCCCTGAGGGGCAGGATGTTGTCATGGGCGGTGGGTCCCCTAGTGGGGGCCGTGGCGACAGCGAGACCGCGGGTGATGAGGGACAGGGTGCTGCAGTGTGCGGCAGAGGAGAGGGTGGACCCGGTGGGGATGGGGACACCGCGGGTGTCGGTGGAGACGATGGACCGGACGACGACGATGACGACGACCACGGTCCCGAGGACGATCCGTATAGGCTCGCCTTGGTGTTGAGGGATCCCACAGTGCCTCCGTTGCGCCCTGCCGACACAGCGCACACTTTCTTCGACGCCGACGCTTTGACGCATGCGTTGACGGATGACCCTTTCGCACACGTGAGCCGCAAGAGCGGCAAGCAGAGGGCCCCTGGGAGGGTATATTCACCGCCGCCGTTCACAGTGCAAAGCCCTCATCGGTCGGGTTCGTCGCTCAGCGACGTTAGAGGGAGGGAGTCCAGTGCGGGTGAGGTGGGGTCCGGCAGACGCAGCGACGGCGGTAGAGATAGTGCGGGATCGATGCCTCCACCGCCCGCACGGACTCCGGAGGCCAGGGTCGACACCGGGGACCGAACGGTGGCACCTGGAGTTGCGCACAGTGGCGGTTTCCCGCCACCTGTCCGAGGAGGTGAGGGTGGCGGATGGTCAGCTGTTCGTCGGGTCGGGGACCGGTTGCGGGCGGATTACGACGCCGGGAGGGGCGTCTTCACGGGACATACGCCTGTTCAGACGCAGGCTGCGGAGGGTGGGTCCGGACGTCCGAGCCTGCAGATGGCAGGCCGCATGCTTGGTTTGTCACGAGTGGAGATGAGGAGGACATTGGTCCTCGAGGCTGCAGGGACATCCACGGACAGGCTGCGGGGAGAGCAGTTCACATCGGGCGAGGAGGGGTTGTCGATGCGTCCCGGGATGAGACGACAGCATGGCCTCTCGGAGCTTGAGGCTCGACTCGCTGCAGGGGTCGTCGCTGGGTAGGCATCATTGAACGCGATTCAGGGGGAGAGAGAGAGGGGGATTGTTGCACAGGTGGAGGAGGACGAGGACGCAGACACTGAGTCCGAGTCGATCTAGACTGCGGCACGCAGACACAGGGCACAGCTGGCCGCGGCGGCCACTGCGGCACATGCGGCATACGTCAGCGGGGCACGGGGCACAGGTGACGGAGGGAGAGGAGGGCGCCGGGGAGGACCGCATGGCCGCACGTCCTCCGGGAGAGGCCGCGCACGCTCTGGTGGGAGATGACGACGTCCGTGGTGTTTTTTGCTACTCGGTTGTACAGTACAGACGACGCCCGTCGACGGGTCCAGTTTTTTTTTTCTACTCTATTGTGTAGCAGCGACGATGGGTCCAGTTTTTTTTTTCCTACTCGGTTGTACATTAGGGTTTTCCTTTTTTTCTTCCGTACTCGGTTTTCATTAGAGACGATGTGGACATTAGGGTTTTCATTTTTTTTTTCCCTACTCGGTTGTACAGTAGAGACGACGCCCGTCGACGGGTTCAGTTTTTTTTTCTACTCTGTTGTGTAGCAGAGACGATGGGTCCTGTTTTGTTTTGCTACTCGGTTGTACAGTAGAGACTACGGGTCCAGTTTTTGGCTTCAGCCTTGTACATACACATTTCCATTTAAATGCTTTGTCATATATTTGCTCTTGTTTTTGTTCCTCCGCCAACATTGGTCTTGCATCTGAGTCGCTGTTGTCTGGTGATTGTTTTCTTCTCTGTTGTCGTGATTGTTGCAAATTATGTGCTTCTCCGATGCCACGCACGTGCATGTCATGGATGCCTCCATTATGAATGTGCTGTTAATTTCAGATGCGACATAGGGATGACGTGTTAATGAATGTGTTCTTACATAAATGATGTGCTAATGAATGTCCATCAGTCTCCTGAGTGAACACACACTATGACACACTTGCCTGTTATCATTGTTTTAAACTTGTGGTTCGCCGCACTGTGATTGATTTTCAACGTGTTTTGACATTGGTACGCCAAACAGGGTCTGACTTATGGTTGTCAAATTTGCCATGAATGTGTTGTTTTCAAATAAGCCACGAACTGTCATCGCCCTCATTAATGAAACCGACGCCTACCTTTCAGTGCGTGAGGCCCTGATCCGCTTGGGGTCTGCCATCTGCAGCCCCGTCTAGCTTCGACCCGGTCTGACCGCACGGCCCGCCCCAACCAGGCCCTCATCCAACCCACGTTGGGCCTCCCCCGCAGGGGTCAATTTTTTTTTTTTTTCCACTCTTCCAGACCCTCCTCCCTGCGACCCCRCATCGACGAACCTGCACACTGGGGCCGCTGGATTTTTCGCGGGTCACCCTTTCAGGGTCTTGTGCAGGACCCCCCCGTTTTTTTTTTTTTGACGCCCCGTCACTTTGAGGGGGTGCCCCATCACCCCCCCACCCCAAACCCGCTCCCAACTTCGAAAACGGTCCCCCAGTTCGGCCGAAACCGAGGCCGAAAAAACTCGGTCGGCCCGGCCGCGGCCGGGGGGGTCCCGGCCTAGGCCGCCAGCCGCGGCCTGGGCCGAACTCGGCCATGGCCAGCGTGCAACATAGCCTCCTTCTCCATAATAAACTACTTTCTCCTCTCCGAGTATCTAATAGGAGCAACACTATCAATCGCAATCTTCAATCATCCGTACTATGGGGTTTCAATCATAGACAGATAAGACACTTTCTCAAATTCGGGATGGGAAATCAAGCAGGACCAAGTTTCTTCAAGGTTAATAACTCTCTCTTAAAGCTAGAAGGATTCCAAAAAATCCTCAAGTAAACTTGAGACACTGTGTGTCCGAAACTCGATTCAACGGGGTTTTCCCGGTGAAAGGTTCAACGGTCGTTGAACCCCCATTACAACGCCACGCTATGCCGCGTTAGAACGGGGTATAACGAGGGCCGCAAATTTTTTTTTCACTGGCAATAAAATATTTGTATATACAGGGTTACCTGACCGAACGTTCGGGGGCCCCTGGGCTGGCCCCCGAACGCTCGGGCGTTCGGGGTCCCGTTCGGGGGCCGAACACCTCCAGGGTCGGCCCCCGCCAAAAAAACATTCGGGGCCTTAAAATACGTTTTTTTTCTTATTTTTTTTTTGTGAGTTCTCTATGATGTAACCTACACGCCTATAAATTTTGAAGCCATTCTGCTAATCCCAAAAAACATTAAAAATCGTCAAAGATGGGGGTGTCAAAATGTGCTCGCCCACTCACTATTCTATTTTTTTTCACTTTTAACTTTTTGTTTTCACTTTATTTCGGGGCCTAAAAAAAAATATTATTTTTTAATTGTTTTTTAATGAGTTGTTGATTATGTAAACTACATATCTGTAAATTTTCAGGGCATTTGTAGATGCCAAAAAATAATAAAAAATCTGCAAAGATGGCGGTGTCGAAAAGATGTTGGCACACTCACTCATTTTAATTCTCTTTTTTTTTTTTCTTTTTTTTATCATAATGTTTATTTTCTGTATTTGATTTTTAATTCAAATTTGGTAAAGAATTTGGATGTAGTGCCCAGGCAAATGTTGTTGAGTTTATTTGTCTCCATAACATATATTGTTTTGGGAATTTTTTGAAAACTTTGTTTGTTTTTTTTTGTTTTTTTTTTTTGGTCCGCGTTCGGCCCGAACGGCCGAACGCCTTCCGAAGGGGTCCCGTACGTTCGGGCGTTCGGCCCGTCCCGAACGCCGGCAACCCTGTATATATATATATATATATGGGGGTGTATAATTTTTTGCGCTCTACATCCGCATATTTTTTTATTTTTTTTTAGCATTTAAATTATTTAAAAAAATATCAAAAACATAACCAGACTCAAAACACATCGATTGTTTTTTTTTTTTATTGATTGATTGATTGGTTGATTGGTGGGGGATGAGTCGCCCCCCCCCACCCCCACCCAATCACACACACACACACACACACACACACACACACACATGAACACACACACACATCCCACCATGCCGGAGTTGCGCGGGCGAAAGAGGGTTTTCCCGCTTTTTTTTTTCCTTTTTTCTTTTCTTTGATTGATTGATTGATTGGTGGGGGGTGTGTCGCCCCCCCCCCCCCCCCCCCAAACACACACACACACACACACACACACACACACACACACACACACACACACACACACACACACAGGGTTGTATGATAAAATGTTCTCTTTTCTTTTTTTTTAATTTTCTATTAAAAAAAATGTTAAAATTAAAAAAAAGATTTGGGCGTGTAGGGTTTTTCAAACACCACACGCCCATTTTGTTTTTCATCCATTAAAAAAAGTAAGAAAAAAAAAACAGCCCTGACGCCAATTTTATTTTTTTTTGTTCAACGGCATAGGGTGTCATTGGGTGCAGTTCCTAATGACATCCGGATAGAACTGTCTGGTGGCTATATGTATATGGGCCCTGTAGTTCATTGTTTGGGCCTGAAGTCCGAAGTTCCCGTTCGACAAGGTTCGTCCGATTCCGCTTCCACTAGGGTTGGGCAATCTATCAGCCTTGGTGCCTATCACTTCTGTTCGGTCCAAGTTGCCTGCCCGTTGGTAGGGCAATGGTCCTGAGTGCTGGTCACATTGAGATAGAATAGTGGGATAGGGGGTGCGCAGGGAGTATTGAGGTGAGGACGGGTTGGGAGGTGGTCTCATATTCCAGGACACCCACGACTCACAGTTCCAGGTGATCACTGTGCACACACTAACTGACCTCTACAATACCCTCGAGCATGGTCCCTCTAGCAATGAGATATGATAGAAAAGAGTTTGTGTGGCAGTTGAGTGACCCAAATTCTGCCGTGCAGTACGCGTGATCCCACGGTCAGTATTTTACATGTATTACCCAAAAAAATAACGAGATTTTGGTTCCTCTCCTCCTCTCCTTAACACTAGGTTTGGTGCAAAGGAAGCTTCCCGCCAAAATCTTTTCAATCCGTTGGGGGTATGGCCAACCCCAAAAGAGAGTGGGCCATAGGCCCACTAGATAAAAGATTTTCAGTACTTTGCTTGCTGTTGTGTAATTATCTCATCGGGCGAAACCCTCCTTCAATCACGGAGTGTATGGAGGGCATTGGGATCACTGCTGACAGAAGTTGATTTTATTCCAGAAAATGTGGCAGTTACTTTGTTCAATGTTGTTGCAATCACCAGCATCAGATCATTTGTGATCTGATGGCTGGGAAGCACTCTGCCGTAATTTCAGGTGGGAGGTCTTTTTTTTTTTTTTTTTTTTTTGCCATCCTCCTGTTTTCTCAGCCCAGAAATTCGTAATGAACTTGTCAGCCCGATGCCACTCAGTGTCACACTGGATCGACCGACTGCTAATGGGACCATGCTCCTGGACTCTGTGGTTAGAGGTTAAAAAAAATTAAAAAAAATCGACGGGATTCAACAGGATGAAAAATGTTTTTTGCTCCACGCGCGTCCAGCGACGTGTCCGAGGCCGAATGCGCCCTCCCCGTTGAGCAGTATTCAACGGGGAGGGCCCGTTGTACTATTCAACGGGGATTCAACGGGGCCCCGAGGGCTATTCAACAGGTACAACGACGCTGAAACTTTTCCATTGCACGTTGAATAGACACATAGCTGAGACAGAATCACACCCGAGCTACAAGGTGAGAACATAGTGTTTGAGTTTGCGAAGGGGCCCCTAGAGTTAAGTGAAGGTCTAAGCAAGGAATCAAGGAAAGAGGCAAGAAGAAGGAGAGAAAGACAAGAACTGTTAGAAGCCTTAGTAAAGACAACGGAATACAACCTAATTAGCAACCCAGAGCCCCTACTTTATGAAACACTATGAACATCGACAAAACAGGAACGAGAACAATGAGCGAAGTGGAAGAAAAGGGGATTGAGCATTGGAGCAAAAATAAAGGATTGGGAAAGCAATGAAGCCATTACTAAGTTCTTCTTCCTAAAAACCAGATAGAATTGTCGAAACAATAGAAAAATGGAACTTAAAGATGAAAGGGGAACAATAAGAAACCACCCAAAGCAACTCCTGGGAACAACAATGAATTTTGCAGGTACTGTAGAACGGTCTCCCACAGAAAACTAATTGGCCTATGGCTAGTCAATGCATACTCCTAGCAGTATTGGCAATCTTCCAACCCCCTCTATCAAAGCAGATACTAAAATCCTCAGAAGAAGGAGGTTGCACAATGTTGCTGCCTGTTCCAACAACATCGGTGGGGAGGGATGAGAACCTGGTTCTAGGGGTTGTCAAAGAAACAAATGGTACAACGAATGGAAAACTGGGACCGGGACTAGAAGAAGTAACGGGTCAAGGTAATCGG